ATGGGATTTCATTTAGTCTGTCTTCTCCTTTTCCACTTCAGATGCGAAAGGAAATCAAGTCATCATCAATGGCACCTTGTGTTAGCCTACCATGGAAACAAGGTCATTGATTGAGTAAAAGAAGTTTCTGAGAGGCTAGTTTAGTCTTTAATGGAGTTACTAGCACAGATAACGTGGCAAAGATAACATCACTAAGTTCTCTCATTATTTTGAGAACAACCAGGACTAGGAAAATTTTGATAGCATCTTTGTTCTGGACTTTGATGCTTTTCAAGTTGTGTATTATCCCAAGTAAATTGAGTTGGGCATACAAATGCACAGGGTTTCTCTTTATTTTTTTTATTAAGTCATTTGAAGGCGTTCCACTGTCTAAACCTGAAAAAGGGAGGAGTTCAAATCCTATAATCCTAATGTGTCCTTGGAATCTTACCAAGAAAATCAATGTATTCTCAATCATAAGTATGTAATTAACTCTTCTGTGAATTTCTGTGGATTTTAGGGTTGTGGTTAAATTAAACTTGTATTTCCACTGCTACCTGAAATTGAGGGCTTTGTGAAGGAAGGTGCTCTATTTTACATCACGTTTTCAAGAGCAGCTTAATAAACAGGAGGTGAGGGACTTTCTTCTCTTGCTTTCCAGCACATGTGCCCATGATGCTAACTGACGTTACTTCTGACTGGCTGTTGCTTTTACTTTTCCTGTATCCATCCAGCCTCTTTCCAGAAGATTTTATTCTAATTATAGGGATTATTCAACTGCTCATGTGGCAGTGGCTAAACCACCTGTATATAGCATGTAAATTAAACTTATTTTCATTACACTGCCAGTTCCTATGTTGCAGCATTCTAGTAGCTTTTGTGTCATCAATTGCATTGTTCCCGTACTTGTGGACTTTTCAGTCGGAGCCTACAGATAAAATATTGAAAAGATTTTAGCGACACATGAGAGGTTCTGTACTGGCTGTTAATAATCAAAAATAATCCATGCTTGACCTCGTGCTCACCAACAGGGAAGGATTGGTTGGAAATATGATGCTCCAGGGCAACCTTGATTGCAGCTATCATGAGATGCTCGAATTTCAGACCCTCAGGACAGTGAGAAGAGCGTGCAGCAAGCTCACTGCCCTGGGCTTCAAGAGGGCAGACTTTGGCCTCTTCAGGAACCTGCTTAGTAAGGTTCCATGGGATACAGCCCTAGAAGGCAGGGGGGCCAAAGACTCTTGGTTGATATTCAAGGATCACCTGCTACAAGCTCAGGAGTGTTGCATCCCAACTAGAAGGAAGTGCAGCAGGAGGGCCAGGAGACCTCCTTGGATGGATAAGGAGCTGCTGAGGAAACTTTGAAGGAAAAAAGAAACTTATAAAAAGAGGAAGCAAGGACAGGCGGCATGGGAAGAATACAGAGATGTCCTAGCTGGGAAGCTAGGAACCAGGTTACGAAAGCTAAGGCCCAGTTAGAATTAAACTTGGCTAGGGATGTGAAAGATAACAGGAAGGGACTCTATAGGTACATTGCAAATAAAAGACAGACTAGGGACAACATGGGCCCTGTCCGGAAGCTATCAGGAGAACTGGCTACCCTAGATTTGGAGAAGGCTGATAGGTTCTGAATGACTTCTTTGCCTCAGTTTTCACTGGCAAATGCTCTGATCACACCACCCAAGTCTTGGAAGGCAGATGCAGGGACTGTGAGAATTAAGACCTTGGGCCCAATGTAGGAGAGGATCTGGTTTGAGACCATCTTAAGAACCTGAACGTATGCAAGTCCATAGGACCTGATGAAACCCATCTGCGGGTCCTGAAGGAGCTGGCAAATGAAGTTGCTAAGTCACTGTCCATCATATTTGAGAAATCATGGCAGTCAGGTGAAGTTCCCGACGACTGGAAAAAGGGAAATATAACCCCCATTTTCAAGAAGGGGAAAATGGATGACCTGGGGAGTTACAGACCAGTCTTGTTCAACATCTTTGTCGCTGACATGGACAGTGGGATTGAGTGCGCCCTCAGCAAGTTTGCTGATGACACCAAGCTGTGTGGTTTGGTTGATACACTGGAGGGAAGGGATGCCATCCAGAGGGACCTTGACACGCTTGTGAGCTGGGCTGATGCCAACCTTATGAAGTTTAACCCTGCCAAGTGCAAGGTCCTACACCTGGGTCGGAGCAATCCCAGGCACAGCTACAGGTTGGGCAGAGAAGAGATTCAGAGCAGCCCTGCGGAGAAGGACTTGGGGGTGCTGGTTGATGAGAAAATGAGCATGAGCTCTCAGTGTGCACTCGCTGCCCAGAAAGCCAACTGTATCCTGAGGAGGTGATCCTGCCCCTCTACTCTGCTCTCGTGAGACCTCACTTGGAGCATTGTGTGTGCAGTTCTGGTGTCCTCAACATGAGGACATGGAACTGTTGGAACAAGTCCAGAGAAGGGCCACGAGGATGATCAGGGGAGTGAAGCACCTCCTGTATGAAGACAGGCTGAGAAAGTTGGGGCTGTTCAGCCTGGAGAAGAGAAGGCTGCGTGGAGACCTCATAGCAGCCTTCCAGTACCTGAAGGGGGTCTATAGGGATGCTGAGGATGGACTCTTCATCAGGGACTGTAGTGATAGGACAAGGGGTAACGGGTTAAAACTTAAACAGGGGAAGTTTAGGTTGGATACAAGGAAGAAATTCTTTACTGTAAGGGCAGTGAGGCACTGGAATGGGTTGCCCAAGGAAGCTGTGAATGCTCTATCCCTGGCTGCGTTCAATGCCAGGTTAGACAGAGTCTTTTTGGCATGGTTTAATGGGAGATGTCCCTGCCCATGGCAGGGGGGGTGGGACTAGATGATCTTAAGGTCCTTTCCAACCCTAACTATTCTATGATTCTAAAAAGTGAAAGCATATAATAGTTAAGGTATTAATAGGGAATGGCAGGAAGTAGAATGAAAGATTAAGAACACTTAAAGATGATGTACAAGGAATGCATATCCCTACTAAGTTAACAAATATATTACAGTGCAACACTGAATGTTCATATTATTTTATTATTATATGTTATTGAGTTGCTGGAGCATGTCCAGATAAGGGCAACAAAGCTGGTGAAGGGCCTGGAGCACAAATCTTATGAGGAGCATCTGAGGGAGCTGGGGTTGTTTAGTCTGGAGAAGAGAAAGGGGGACCTTATCACTCTGTACTACTACCTGAAAGGAAGATACAGTGAGGAGGTGTCTGATTGCTTTCTCCGAAGTAACAAGTGATAGGACAAGAGGTAATGACTCAAGCTGTGCCAGGGGAGGTTTAGACTGGATATTAGGAAAAATTTCTTCACCAGAAGGGTAGTCAGGCTTTGGAATAGGCTGCCCAGGAAAGCGGTGAAATCACCATCCCTGGAAGTGCTCAAAAACTGTGTAGATGAGGCCCTTATTGACAAGATTTAGTGGTGAACTTGCCAGTCCTGCAGTAATGGTTGGACTTGACGATCTTCAAGGTCTTTTCCAACCTAGCTGATTCTATGCTTCTATGATGAAAGACATCACTCTATTTCTGCAGACAGAGAAAGCTAGCTTTTTTCAATTCAACTAACATGATGATAGATAGAGTTGGAGAGCTACAGCCTTGGATGGTTAATTAAAAACAGATAAAACAGTTTTGGGTTGGACAGGTGGAGAACAGATTTTCAGGTATCATAGATGAATTATATTATCTCAGTGTGACTACTCATGCAGTTAGGCACTGTAAACTGCAGTCTAAAACTCAACTAAATACATGCAGCATGTTATCGAGACCGTTTTTCAGGGAAGAAAACTGAGACAATGAGGTAGAGTGAATTACGTTCTAAGGCAGGTCAAGAAGGATCCATGAGTTTGTTCCTTGAGCTAGACTGTTCATTTACTGTAAGACTTTAACCAAATCCCTTAGGAGTCATGCTAGAATGGAGATACTGGCATTTATTTGCATGCTCCCTGTGAGAATTAAACAAGAGGTTTTGTACAGTTTCCTGTAAGAATCAGTTACTCTGTCCTCTGTGCAAACTGGAGACACAAAACTATGCATATATGCATAGCTGATAATGGAGAATGAGGGGAAATTCTGTTTTGCATGTGCTAGGCTTCTCACTTCCAGAGAGGCTGAGGAGAGCAAGACATTCTCAGGATATGCAAATAAGGGGGAACAGGAGGAATCTGGGGTGTAAAATGCAAACCATGAGGTTTTTCTATATCTATGGAGATACTGTTTTTGAAAGAAAGTGAGAAAACTGTATTAATGAGGCTCTCAGCCTCTGCTGGGAGAGATCGCATCGTGGTCTTATCCTCCCAGTTGAAATATTTACTGTCTCCAAAGCCACAGTTTCAAAGGTAGGCAAAGTTACTTTATTCCTCCCAGCTTGCGATGAACTCAGCTTCCCCCAGACTGCTTGGTGGAGCTGACAGCTCAGGCCTGAGCAACTGCAACGATCTTCAATGTGCGTGGCTATAAAATGACTTCCATTGAGTTTTGTAATACAGTTTCAACCTCATACGTTGCATCTGCTTCTACCCAGAAGATTATTTTGCTGGTGTACAGTGTGGTACAATTCACTGATGGGGGCATTTGATAATCATTGTTCTGCTGGATAAGAGGAGAGTTATACATATAAAATGTCATTACAGAATATCCTAATTCACTAAAACATGACTTATCCTAACAGGCTGGTAACGAAACATCAGAAAATTTACAGATCATTGCAACTAAAGAGAGGAATGATAATGTGATTTTGATACTACAGTTGGACTGTGGTGACTGGCAGATACAAAATTTTCTAACATATCTTTCAAAAGAAAAATGTAAGTTAACAAAACCCCTAAATTTGGGATAATAAAGACACTGTTTTGTTTGAAAATGTCTCATTTTAAGCAGAAATTCTACGTATTAAGATATATATTGAGATACATTCATTCTGAAACAATGCATAAACTGTCTCCTAAATGCAGACTAGGATGCAATGATGTTTGTATCTGTTCACTGAAACAAGCAGAAAGGGTTCTAGAATGTGGGTCTCCTGTCTTCCAGGTTAGTAGCTGTTCTGGGGCAGTGAAGTTAGTGTTTCACTTGTCTTGCATGAATTTTTGGTAGACTCTTTGTCTACAAAATATTTTGCTCAAAAAAGAATGAAATAATTTTTAAGACTCAAAAAATCCCCATTTTGTAGTATGGGAAAAATATCTAAGACCTTGTTTTCTTAAGGATATAAGCTTTTTTTTTTTTTTTTTCTCAGATTCTTTGTGATGGTCAGCAAGTCATCTCTCACTGCTTTAATTCTTTTTCTAAGATCTGTTGCTATTCTCCTGCCTCATATTATCTGTATGGACACTATTCCTATAAAAATTCCTGACTGTATGTTGAACACAGACCAGTGTTAAAGGTAATCACCACCTAATTTTTGTTTTGCTTGGTAAATCCTTTATTCTTGCTTTCCTTCCTTTCCTTATAAAGTCTATGAATATGCATTCTGGTGTTCTCTATTTTGTTTAGAGATGCCTTGACAATATCTGAGATGTTTTCTCATGGGTTCTAACATCAAAACTGAAGGGATGAAGAAATTAGATACTTAACAAAGTCTTCATTTGTCTGTAAAGTTAATTAGTCACTCTTGACCATCAGATTAGATTAAAATTAAATATGGGTCAATTAACACTTGTTACTTTTGTTAGCTTTTTTATGACCAGTCACACTGAAATTATCACAAGTTTATTCAAGTAGAAATTAAGATGCAGCATTTGCTTTCTTATTTTTATTAAAATCACATTTTTATTTATTTTTCAGATCTTAAATCCATTAATCCTTTATCATTTTGGTAGGATTACAAGTGTAGATAGGAGGCAGAAATGTAGTAAGTTTCACAAAAGAATCATGCCTTTTTTATGTTATAGTATGCATTAATAGATTTGTTTTCCAATCATTTCTTAACTCTAACAGTTAACACGTTACCAAACTTTGCACATTTCACATGCATTAGCATTTTGTATTGCATGAGTTCAGTTACCTGACTTTGGAACTAAAAGTTGCACTTGGTTCTTAACCTTGAGTCATATGCTGTACCTAAACAAAAGAGATCATAATCTTGTTTTTTGCTTGTAACCAGTAAGTGAGATCCGTACCTTCTTTCTGGTGACCAGATGCTTTCTCTTTATCAGCTTACTTACAGTACAGTTCCTTTAAACTAAGCAAACTTCTCAGGTCTGGCAGTTCATTCCCCATATTTCTGCTAAGCTAAAAGTCAGGATAAGCTTCCATTTAATTTTGTTAGGAAAACACAGTGCAACATCTAACATTTGCCAACTTGATTATCGCTTTCCCTGTTTTCACCTTCAGAGCTTGCGGGATATTACCATTATTGCAGTGGCAATCACGGAGCCTGCTAATTAGAGCATGCTTTCAACTTATGAATGTAATGTAAAAACAAACAAACAAACAGAAGACAAACCAAACAAACCCACTGTTTCAGGTTGGAAATTATTTTCAGTGTTTGTATGGCATTTTTTTCTTTGAATGCTGCTCTGATTTCCCCACCATTTTTTTTCCATCCTCCCTTTCGTTCCATAATTTATTTTTATTGGTTACAGTAAGACTGCAGGCTTTTCTACAGCTGAGCACAGCTGCTAATGTTTTGCTATTGATTCCACATGTTAGCTCAAAAGTGTATAATAATCTGTTTTAATCGTTGCCTTTGGCTTTTCCTCTTCCCACTCTGAGAAGTGCCCTCTGCCTCTGGCCTGGCATGGCCATAACCAGAAACTGATCCTAATTACATCAAACCACTCTCTGCCAAAATGCCCAAATATCCGTATCGTGTTTGAATAACAAATGTTGGGAGACATAACTCCATCCAGCTCTCTGGAAAATGCTTCAAATTATCAACTGTAGATGTGCTGACAGGAAGAAAATCTTGTGGGCATGGTAAGAAGCTAAGCTACCTCTGGCCCGAAAGGGAATACCTTAGCAGTATGAATGTAATGCTATTTAATTCCCCCCCTTCAAATCCCTGCAGCTCTGAGGAAGCTCCAAATTATAACAGGACTCCTAAGGGAACAGCACATAATCAGCCCTGCTGAAAACATGTTGGATAGTGCTAAATAAATCCCAGGTCTAATTATGTTACTGAGACTGCATGGGGACTGCACATCTGGAAGTCCCCCCAAAAGTCCTATGGTAGTTGAAGTGAAACACAGTCAGTTACTCCAACACCCAGTGTAGCTCAGCAGCCATCTCCAGGAAGGAGCTGTGAGAGTCCCCTCACAGTGCACAAGTAGCCCACATTAAATCACTGCTTATTTAATCTGTCAGACTCCTTTCCTTTGGTCTAGGGGGCATCTCCCCAGGCTGGCATGAGAATCAGAGCTGTGGCATCAGACAGGAATGTCTCACCTACTGTTGCTGGGGTGCAGAGCCTTCAGATGCTCCTCAAAAAGAAGCCAGTCCTTTCCCAAGATCTCAGTGTATAGAAGTTATAGAAACAAGTTGGAGTTCTGTCTGCAAAAGTAGAAGCTGGTATTTTGTTGAAGTAAATCAGAACTTTGCCACTGACTTCTCTGTGACTGTGTCTCAGCTGTGAAAACAGCAAGTATTGGGCCAGTTTGCACAAAATGCTCAGCACCCTGCATGATCTTTTCTACAGAAAATGACTGCTTTTTAACTCAGGAGGTGTGCAGTTCCTTATGCTGACATGACTGGCACCTTTCTGAGAAGTCCTTGCCACTACTGACCTGATTTTAAGGTATAAATATAAACATGTATCACCTGGACCAGACCTCACTACTAGGAGCTGACTCAGACTGTATGGCAGGTTTGAAAAGAAAACCTTTTATCTAAACAAGAGGCTCCTGAATCTGCTTGTTCTCCTGCGGTTTTCATCAATGATCCTGAAGGAAAATACCAGCGGACGCATATCACCAATAGCAAGAAAATACTATTTAAAGCTATTTACCTTCCTATGTATTTTTGTTATGTTCTGTTTCTTTTATTTGATTAGTTGGTTGCCAGAAAAAAAGATGACATGCTAATTACTTTTGTAATTGTTACACCAGTATAGTGCTGACAGTCAATATTACTGTGGTCTGCAGTCAGATATCTGTATTGTTACATATTACTATGCATCAGTGATTCTTGATGATATATGAAGTGAATATTACTGGGTTTTTTCAACTTCCTAAGGAGGGCTGGAAGCACCCTGAGAATGTGAGTGCTAATTATATAGACCACAGAGACAATTTTTTTCTCTTTGCTGAAATATATACATTAGAAAACATAGAAACCAGAAAACCTTGGATGATCAATAGTAGCTCTGTTTAGTGTTTAAAAAAGCTTCTGGAGAGTATTATGTATTGCTGAAACTTATGTAAGAAAAGACATTAAAATTCCTCTGTTCTGTGGGATACATATAGCTATTCTTGATAAAATGCTCCTTTAATGTTATGCATAAGAAATCAGGTCTTTCCTTTGAAGTCAGAAGGAAGAAGTAAGGAATTAAATTTTTTGTTCTCTGATTCCCCCCAAATTTAGATAATGTATGTTAGAACTGTATTAAAAAGAAGATTTTAGTTTCTCAGGTTTTCTTTTCCGTGTGCATGTTTTTTGTGGTTCATTGAGTCTAATTATATTCCTGTTGTCTTTGTCTAGGCTAATTCTACCCCTAGTATTGACTGGCAACAAGTGGAAAAAGCAAGCTGGAGCTTTTGCCTCTCACTTCTCCTGAACTTCACTCCAGTTCAGTGACACCAGCAACGCTTTTGCTGTTGATATTTTCTGTAGTTCTGTTTGGGTTCTGTGCCTGACCGAGCAACAGAACTGCTGGGTCCTTCTCAGAAATGAAATTTCCAAGTGGAAACCTCTGAGGCCTTCACAATATCTCTTCCGGCTAGTATTAGTGGCAATTCATGGTTATAACTATGGTGCAGCAGCACACTGAGGCCTTCAAGAAGTTCTGTGTGATAGTCATGATTCAAACACCCAGTAAGAAGGGGAGTGCCCCAGGTGAAACTAGATGTGCACAATATGTCCAAATCTTTCACAGCACTGCTGACCAGCAAGAGTTACAGTACAAGCAGGTACTGCAATGCTCTTAAACCTTTCAAACAAGGGATGGTTAGCATTCGGGAGCTGTAACTGTGGGTCTGTCTTTTTCCTTGCTGATGCCCTGTATGACAGCCAAAATGAACCAAGGGAAAGCCACAGGACTGCTCTTGCAGATGGTCTCCTCAGAAACCTGGGCGGAGGCATCGAAACTCTCCTCCTCCTTCAGCTCACTGGAGCACGGACTCCTTATTCCCCCTGTCTTCTGCAGAGATGATGTGTTGGTTGTCCTTTGGTGTTTCTTTTCTCGCATCTAAAAAGACTTAGGGAATGGTGACAAGTGTATGAAGACACTTTTGTCCAAGGAACACTGAGATAAGCCAGGGTTCTTCAGCCCAGGATGAAGAGGGCAGTGAGGAGAGGCAGGGGTCAAATACAGGTCTGCCTAGCTCATGGCAATTTTACAATGTATCAGGTAAAGCCAGAATATCTGGTTCAGAAAAAAAACAGTGTTTTTTCACAAAAGGCACAGCAATTCACTGAAACTGCCTGTTGCAGGGTGCTGCAAATGCTAATGTTAGCATGGGTTCAAGAACTGGGTAAGTTTGTAGATGAAAAGCGTGATGATCCTGGCAGACACAGAAACCTGTGGGACTGCAGAATGATAAAAGCTGGGAGAACATTTGAAGAAAGTCCCTTTGTATACTGCTTTACATACTGCTTTTCCTACTGCAAGTTTCTCAGTATCCACTTTTGGCCATTGTCAGACACAGGACCCTGGGCTAAACGCACCCATGATCTGTCCCAGTCCAGCTGCTCTTAGGCTCTTGTTTCGCCATGCTTTTATACAAATACCTTAAACCAGGGAAAGTCCACAGGGTACCTGTGGAGTTGCTCAGGGAAGAAACCAACAGGGTTTCTTGTCAAAACTGATCTGCTCACCAGTGTGTCTTGTGTCATAAACTAGTCACTTTCCCAGGCTAACTTCTCACTATTTGCAACACTCTTACCAGGGCCCACGCTATCAGAAGGGCCCTCATGCTGCTATCCACTTTGTTAAACAGAAGTTGATTTTATATTTAGTGGTGCATGGGGTGTATAGATGAAACAAATCACTACCATAAACTCAGCAAGATGAATAGGTCCTGTTGAAAACTAGCAAGGAAGGCTGAATGCAAGATTAATATGCAGTCCCAAGTTATGCTTCCCACAACTTCCATTGATTATTTGGAAAGTGAAAAAAAAAACAAAAAAAAAAACCCAAACAAACAAACAACTATGATTCCTTTTATAAATCGGACTGAAATTCTGGTACAATCATTCTTAAGAGAGGAAAATAATTTGTCTGGGAAGAGAGCTCTTTCACTAGTTTCTGTTTGAGGGGCAAGAGGTTTAAAAGCTTCCTGTCATCACTTTAGGGTTGTTTACTAACAAATTCTCAAAATAAGTACAGAATTCACAAACGGAAGAGTTGTGCTGCCTGGGGGCTTCAACAGGCTAGAAGGTCAACATGGGCAAAAGGAAAGGATCAGCAGCTTTTTAGTTTCTTCCACCTTTGGCTCTGAGGCTGACTTGTAACTATGAATAGGTGACTCTTACTGTGCTTATTGTAAAGGTGAGACAGTAAAGGTCTCTTTTCTGGGAATTTGATAGGGAATTGGCATCAAGAAGTTCTTCAAAGTTCAGGGACCGGGTGAAGGATAGACTGTAGCATATGGTGTGTTGTGTGATGCTTTGCTGTTGGAAGATCATCCCTGTGATGGGATAGGTTAGACCTTATTGATTCCTCTGTTTCCCCTATTTTGTACTTACAAGTGACCATTTAATCTTACATGATTTCCTTAGCTGCATGGTAGATGACCTTCTTGAAGAGATGTGCTTTCTGGGTTAGGGGGTTCTTCTTATCTCTCAGAAATTTTACAACAGGATGTAAATTGTCTAATTTACACAGAACAGAGAATCACAGTGTCTTCTTTCCCTCCCCAACCAATAAGAAGTGCAGTTATAATTCATTTCCTAGTCTCAATTATGGTTTTGTGTTTGTTTTTTGTTTATTATTATGAGTTGGTTTTGTTGTTTTTTTTTTCATTACTGCCTGGCTTTAAAGAGAAAGTACTGACCAAAATATGAATCTATAGCACGTCATCTAAAGGATGTGAAAAATTATATCCTATATGGTCCAATGCTTTGTATTGATCTTACAGAAGAGACAAATCTCATGGGTCAAAGTTGAAGTGATATGGACAAGCAAAATCAATAATAATTTTAAAAAGAGGAATTTTTTTCCTTTTCTTTTACTAATTCATGAAAAAAAACCACAAGAGCACCATAAGACTTGCACACTATTGATGTTTTACAGATTGCTGTGTTTTTTAAAATTAATTATATTTTGGAAAATATTTTTGCTAACATCTAGTAGGCAAACAGGTATTTTTCAAAGCTGAAATCAAGCATTTCTATCACAATAGACCTGGCTTCTCTTGTGTCATGACTAGTACAAGGTTTTCTGATACCTTGAACACATAAAAAGTACAGCCTTCCTTCTTTGTTCAGTAGCAGAATTGCCAGTGACAGGAGACAAGGAGCTCTGAGATCTCGCGGTGAACCTCATTGAGTAGTTTCTGACTCAGCTGTTCCTGTCTCCCCATGCTTTTCTCCATGCCCTCTGAAGGCAAAAGCAGAAGGTCACAAGTATCAGTGCCCTCCTAGCTGGCTTGTTCTCAGTCTGCTACAATAATGCAGTCCGATCTTCATCACCATGTTAAGAAAAATTAGCTGAATAAGCGTATTCTTTTCTTCCTGAGCTCTTGGGACAGTAGGTCCTAGTGGGGAAGGAATCTACTTAGCCAGGTAGGCTGATGGATGTGGTAACCCTTTAAGCAGTAACCTTCAGAAGTTTCCTGAGGCAATGTCTATGGAAAATGATTTTTGCTACTGCAGATCTGCCTGTATTTTCTGGATGCTTGTCCTTTTATTTACTTAGTCTTTCTAGATGTGGAGAGATCTAGATTTTTCTTCAGTTAACATAAAACCAGATCCCTTGATCTGGAATTTTTTGAAACCTTTCAATCCCTGAACTAGAGGTATCAGATTTAGAGTAAAGCAAATCTTGTAGTCACTGAGTCTCTTGATCAGGTGTCTGGCCACTGGGTGTGGGATAGGAGGCATACTGTCGTATCTGCTCTTACAAAGAGTCGAAATCTAGGAGAAATCTCCTTAGTTGAAATTATTTCAGAGCTTCACTGGCTCTCAGAGGCTGCTCTGGATTTCGATCTAGAGACCATACACCTGGGTGCTGGGGACAGGGGAGGAGAACCCCACACACCTAATTACAGCCTTTATTGTTACACAGCATTTAAAAACCATTAAACAAATAATTGTTTAATTTCAAAGCTCTTCTAATTGAACATTACTCACACACTCTCCCTTGCCCCCTATTTGCTGTGTTAAAAATCACAACCCTAAAAGAGCTTACTTGAAAGATTCCATAGTCAAGCAGCCACTTAGTCCAGGAGACTCAAAATCCTTTCCCACGAACAACAGATGTGCCTTCAGGTGAAGAGTTACACCAGTGTAGCCAGTGGCAGAATCCAAACAAAAGTATATAGAATCATAGAATTGGTTAGGTTGGAAAAGGCCTTCAAGATCATAGAGTCCAACCATTAATCTAGCACTGCCAAGTCCACCACTAAACCCATGTCCCTAAACACCACTTCTACATGTCTTTTAAATACCTCCAGGGATGGTGAGGAGGAACCACCTCCCTGGGCAGCCTGTTCCAATGCTTGACAACCCTTTCGGTGAAGAGATTTTTCCTAATATCCAGTCTAAACTTCCCCTGGCACAGCTCGAGGCCATTTCCTCTTGTCCTATCACTTGCTACTTGGAATAAAAACCCAATACCCTCCTTGCTACAACCTCCTTTCAGGTAGCTGTAGGAAATCATAAGGTCTCCTCTGAGCAACCTTTTCTCTAGACTAAACAACTCCAGTTCCTCAGCCATTCCTCATAAGAGTTGTGCTCCAGACCCTTCACCAGCTTTGTTGCCCTTCTCTGGACCTGCTCCAGCACCTCAATGTCTCTCTTGTAGTTAGAGGCCCAGAACTGAACACAAGATTTGAGGTGCAGCCTCACCAGTGCCCAGTACAGGGGGATGATCACTGCTCTGGTCCTGCTGGTCACACTATTTCTGATACAGGCCAGGCTGCTGCTGGCCGCCTCAGCCACCTGAGCACACTGCTGGCTTATATTCACATAGCTGTCAAAAAACACCTCAGCCCCACAGCTTTCCCCAGCCACTCTTCCCGAAGCCTGTAGCATTTAAAAAGTGCAGTGGGAAGTGGATGGAAGGAGTGTAACAGAG